GCAGCTGACCCGTATAGCCTCTACTCATTGGCCCTTCGGGTATTATTGGATCTATGGCTGAGGGTAGTCGTATTCCATCACGACGAGACTGCACCTTGACGTGGTGTGATGGCTTGTGCACCTCTATGAGCAAATTAGCTACACAGGATGGTTTTTGTCGAGCCAAAGATTTAATCATGCCTGGAAAATCATCGGGTAGAGGTAAACGAAGTCCTGTCTCCTGGTTGGATGTTCGACTTGATTCGGCTTCTCAGTCGATAAAACGTGTTGGAGGTATAATTGATCTAAATTAAGGGACCAGTAATCCGCCCTAACCGCTGCCTTGCGGATAGATTCTTTTCAGAACTAAAGGCTTTGTTTAAGAATTCTAATTATTCTGCTAATTAGTGGCTGGACCCCTTGGTAATATCCATCTATCAAGCTCCAATGAACACAAACAAAAAATGATTTTATACTGCATCGGTTGTCTCTGAGTATAATCAGGACCGCGCTGCCCATTGCCGCGAGCGGAGTCCGTAGTGATAGGTGGTTTACTGTTCAGACATCGCAACCTTTGTTTAACTCTTTGTCTTCCGTACTCAACCCTATCCCTTTACCCCTTCTTCGGGCGCGTAATGTTCCGTCAGACAACTTGGCCGTCACTCACCAAAGGTCTTTTCCAAAAAGCACTGTAACTAGTTTTCCTGTAAATAAAGTGCAAATTCTAAAGCCTCGTCAACCTCAATCTGGGGACTTTCAATATGAGGACTCTTATGCAAGTGGGTCAACAGATGTGTCTTGCGCGTACAATACAGTCTCTAGAAATCGATGTCTGTTGCGCATCGGAGACACGAATTTAGGATCCTAGTATTATAAGGCACTGAATGCGCCAGGTATTTCCTTCGCACATCAGGGGATGACGAAGCCCGCTCACTGGGTCAGCGGGGTGTAGGTATCGTACTGAACGATAAAGCTGAAGCCTCTTTGATAGATTGGATTCCCATCAATAGTCGTCTGTGCGCAATGAGGCTACAGGGTTCAGTTAGTGTTCGGAAGTATAGCAACATCAGTAGGTGTTTGTTCATAATTTCCGCGTATGCACCAACCAACTGCAGTCCCGCTTCACAAAAGGACGAATTTTGCGACAAACTCGCCGAACTGATTCGTTTGAGCCGGCAGCTTTGATATTATAATGATGACAAGTGATTTTAACGCGCAGGTCGGAAAACTGAGCGCATCCGAAGCCTGTCTAGGAGGTCTCTTCGCCCTCCCCGCCCAGCGAACAGACAACGGTGATCGACTACTTCAGTTCTGCGCGGATCACTGGCGATCCACCTGTTTGCGCAAGTTATGAAGAAAAGCTGGGACAGGAGCTAGAAGGACCGCGACATAGCGGAGTAGGCCAACAGTGGAATCATATTAGATTTGCGGTGCACTCAGCAGCAAACTTTGCTTGTGGGACTGAGCCCAGAGCTCGCCGAAGGCATTGGATCTATCAGGAGTTAGTAATCCTGATGGATCAAAAGCGAAAATCCCAATCTGCCAGGATCAACATAAGGACCGGTGTCGCCTGCAACGTCAACTCAAAAATAGCCCTAAGAAAGATCGGGAAAATTGGTGGGCCAAAATAGCTAGTGAAATGAAGGTAGCTTCTGCATCAGGGAATAGTCAAAGACTATTTCACCTGATACGCAGCACCGGAGGTCGTAGCATATCGGTTAGTGAGACCATTTGCGATAAAAATGGACAGAGTATCTACAATAAGGAACAACGACTTGATCGGTGGGCAGAGTATTTTAGTGTGCAGTTCAATTGCCCCTGTGATAATGTGGTCATTTCAGCAATTGCGGCGGAAACTCCANGAAACTCCATGGGTGGTAACATGCGAGCCCCCATCAGAATCGGAAGTACTAAGTTCCATCCAATCATTAAAGACAGGGAAGGCTGCGGGACGTAACTGGCTTCTCCTTATTTTTTTCAGGATGAACCGTGATACTCTTGTCGACTCAATTACTAGCTTACTCCGCAGCATTTGGACGGAGGAGCGAATCTCTTTGTCCTGGGATGAATCGTCCCTGTACCTGCATACTTCTGGTAGCATAAGGGTCTACGGTGGGTTAAGTGAATCGTTCCAGGAGCGGTGTCCGTCAAGGGTACCTTATTTCGCCATTCCTGTTTAATGTTGTCTTGGACGAAGTACTGGAGAACGCACTTAGTGATCTCCAAAACGTAGGTATTGAATGGGCAGCTGGAGAAAAGCTGTGCGATTTAGAGTACGCTGATGACATCGTATACCCGTTCGAATCTATGGAGGATGCGCAATGTGCTCTTGACAGACTAGCAACTTCTGTATCTCCTTTGGGCATGCGCTTTGCACCTTTGATGCTACAAGACTGCTCTATGGTTGCGGACCCTAATTTTCCGCGTGGAAGATATTCGCCGTCTTGAAGTATTCGACTGCAGATGTTTACGTGGTTTGTACGGGTTAGATAGAGCGAGCTTGTAAGCAAATCTGAGGTGAGGCGTCGCGTATTTTGTAATGATTCGATGGAGAATTCGTTGTCCTATCGAATTCAGATTAGTCCGCTTCGCTGGTTAGGATACGTATTGCGCATGTCCAGTCATCGTCTGCCGCACCGCGCCTTATTCGCAGTACCGGCTCCAGATTAGAACAAACCGCGTAGAGGTCAACAGATGACGTGGAAGCGAAGCATGAAATGCACAGAGTGATTAAGTAGAATCTGTCTCCCATCTTTCAGGTTGGGGTCCGAAAGACTGCAACCGGCTGACTGGGGACATTGAAGGATATGGCGACTAACATACAGCAGTGGTATTCTTGTTGTCATTTCTTATCAAGTCAGAATGCTTGGAAAGGCATGTGTGCACACTTAGATTGTGTACTCTGTGTGTTGACCATAGAGGTTCTTTTTCTTTACCTCCCTCCCAATAGGCCTAATCCCTCTCCATCTTGTGCTTTATCACTTGATTTGTGTACATTGTGAGCTTGGCAGCGATCAGTGAAGTTCACTTCACTGTATCTCGCTGTATGGTGATGATGTTGAGTAGCTATCCTGCATTGCTCGCACGGTCATGGAGACACACAAACCATCACACCACGTCAAAGTTCAGTCTGGTCGTCGTTGTTGAAAGTACTAACCGGTTTTCACAACCACAGACACGTAATAGTTACAGTAAAAGTAATACCTCGTGATATATAATATACTTTAGTGAGTAAGTTTACCATTTGCTTGCATCCTTGGATCTTCACCAACGTGTTGTTCATCATTTTTCATATTGTGTACTGTTGTGTTCTTGCGTCTGCCCCGCAGCCCATGACAATGTCTGGGGTTTTTGGCTAATAATCGTATGTGTTTGTGTTCATATATGCTTTGGCAGTAACAACGATTAGTCTCAGTTTCTGTGGGAGAGTTGTTTATTTTTCCCACTTACTGAAGGTCAATTGTTATCGGTAATAGCTATATATATAGATAGTTTCCGCTTTTTGACTCCATTGGGAAATACGTTCTTTTATCTAATCTCCATTGCATATGTTGCGTTCCATTTTCTGCTCTTTCACCTCCTGTCTCGTTTCCTGTTATTCGTGATTGTGTATCGGTGCCCCTGCCCCTCCTTTTCATGTTAGGGCATGAGCGAGTTGGTAGGACTCCTCTTGACCTACATCATCGAAGAGGAAGATGCATTCTGGGCTTTGTCCCAACTCATGACTGGACCACGGCATCGATTGCACGGGATTTTTGTGAGCGGTTTCCCCGGTCTGCAGCGGTTGTTCACGCATCACGAGCGTGTGATCAAACGTCTACTCCCATCCATTCACAAACACTTCACACAACAGCAAATGGTTACCAGCACGTATGCGCTCAAGTGGTTCATGCAATGCTTTCTCGATCGGGTAAGTCCTCTGACGTGTGTGTGTGTGTGTGTCTAAAAGGGTAAGACACCTGTCCGGGCCGTTGATTGGTAGGCATGGAGTTCTTTGCGATTTGCGACAAAAACTTTCTGACCTACTAGATTTAATTTTTTGATAACTTTAGCAATGCCCTAAATCTAAATGTGAAGATAAAACCTTTCAAATATTCACAGATTTGTGAATGTTTCTTATCACTTCATGTATTATTGCATTTCTCACTCATCTGAGTCCAAAGCGCTTATGATTCGATGAACTGGACACCGACCCCCATGGATTGCGGATTTCACACACTGCCTTCATGCAGGTTTTGGTTAACCGAAGGCTCCGGTTGTGGATTCCTCAAAAAATTCACCTACCTAGGCATGGACAAGCTGGCACTATTCAACCAACATGCGAATCATGGAACGCTTTTCT